GGGTACCGGTGGGCTTTTGGTATAGCTGCCTTGGAGGAAATTAAGCTAGGCTGGGTGTCAGTGGGTGGGTGATGAGCAATTGTATTGTGCATCACTTGTGTTTATTGTTGGGTTTTTTCCTTATCCCCTTTTAGTTCTGTATTATCTCCCCTTGTTATTTCCCTTATCATTATTATTATTAGTGGTAGTAGTAGCAGTGTTATATTATACTTTAGTTATTGGAATGTTCTTACCTCAACTGATGGGATTTACATTTTTTCAGTTCTCCCCATCGCTCCAGGAGTGGGGAAAAGGGAAGAACTGGGGGGGGGGGGGGGGGGGGGGGGGGGAATGAGCTAGCAGCTGCATGGGTCTGAGTTACCAACTGGGCTTAAACCACAACACACAGAGAAGAAGTTGCTGCAGAATCATTTATTTCCCTTAAGTACAGTGAGAGCCCCCCACTGACACAAAGTCTGCAGGTCACACAAGATGGGCAGATACTGAAGTAGCAGGGGATGAAAATTGACATGTCTTAGAGGACAACATCACAAGTGGAAAAAGGAAAACAAATGTAAAGGAGGAAAGACAGACATGGCCTGTCATGACCTACACTTGGAGCCCTTTGCAGAGGAAAGCAGGCAGTGTATGGCTGCTGAAACACATCCAGTCATCAGCATCCCCAGAACATCCTTGAGCTCCTAGTTCCTCAGGCTGAAGAGGAGGGGGTTCACTGTTGGAGGCACCACCGAGTACAGCACGACACCACCAGATCTAGGGATGGGGAGGAGCTGGAGGGGTGCTTCAGGTAGGCAAATGTGCCAGTGCTGACAAAGAGGGAGACCACGGCCAGCTGAGGGAGGCGCATGGAAAAGGCTTTGTGGCATCCCTGCTCAGAGGGGATCCTCAGCACGGCCCTGAAGGTCTGCACATAGTACCCCACAGCGAAAACAAAACACCCACATGTTATAGAGGTACCAACCACAAGAAGCCCAGCTTTTCTGAGATATGATTCTGAGCAGGAGAGCTTGAGGATCTGGGAAAATTCACAGAAGCACTGCTCCACAGCATTGCCTTGGCAGAAAGGTAAAGAAAATGTATTAGCTGTTTGCAGCCCTGCACAGAGAAACCCACTGCCTCATGCAGCTGCTGCTATGTGGACACAAGCTCTGCTGCCCTGAAGGGTCCTGTAGTGCAGGGATTTGCAAATGGCCACGTAGTGGCCATAGGACATGACATTGAGAAGAGAAAATTCTGCTGAAATAAAAAAGACAAACAGAAGAACCTGTGCAGCACATCCCAGGTAGAAGATGGCCCCGGTGTTCTGGAGGGAATTGGCCATGGATTTAGGGACAATGGTAGAGGTGGAGCCCAGGTCCAGGAGGGAGGGGCTGAGGAGGAAGAAGTACATGGGGGTGTGGAGGTGCTGGTCGCAGGCTGTGCTGCTGCTGCTGAGGCCGTTGCGCAGGAGCGCAGCCAGGAGTATGCCCCGGAAGAGCCAGAAGTTCCGGAGCTGCAGCTCCCGCTTGTCTGAGAATGGCAGGAGGAGGAGCTGGGTGATGGAGCTGCTGTTGGACATTTACTGCCTCTGGGCATGGGGCGCTGTCATCGGAGAAAAAGGCAGTGACAGGTTAGGACAGGAGGGATGTCCGATACAGAAGTTCAATTTACACACGACTCTGCTCCCACTGCCCAACCTACTCACCAAGAGTAAAAAAACATCAATGCTCAGGATCCTTCCCTAGCAGGTAAATGCTGCCTCAGTGTCTTTCAGAAGGATGCTCTGAAGAAGTGCTCAGAGGGACTGGAAATTGGAGCAGCATCACCCACAAAGCACTTTAACACAGGGTTAAAGTACTTTTAGACTAACTTAGGTCGAAGATAAAGAACAATGTTTGCCTGGCAGAACGAGTTGCTGAATGTGCATTTGCCTTTTGCTGTGTGTTGCTGTGTGCATGCCTGGGCACCTTTAGCTAAAGTCCCCCTGTCACAGCGGCATGCTTGATGGAAAACTCCCGTGTTACCAGGACATTGCTAATGGTCTGCTGCTGTTACTGACTGGCATTTCTCCCCTCTTTGGTGAGGAAGGTAAAGGCAAGAGAGACAAAGCCAAGGGGCAGATAAAATACATCCCTCAAGGGCTTTTAGAAGGCCTCCCAAAGGAAAGATCTAGTCTCTGATACAGACTGGACTGACATGCCCTGTCCATGTGGCAGGGCAAGCTCATGGCTGGAACTGAGCTGGCACTGGAACTGGTTCCAAGTCCAGAGCCCTCCTAGCTCCAGCCAGACATTGCTGGATGTCCCTGCTTTGACAGCTGATCCCCAGTGTGTGAGAAGTGTCTGATCCACCGTCTGCTTATGCCCTTTGAACAGCTTGTGATGTGTGAGCGCGCATCAGCATTGAATAGCTGAGCTAGTGAAAGGCAAAGATGTGTTCCTTGGCCTCCCTCTGGGCCAAGGCAGGGGAGCAGGCCTGCTATGCTGTGGCTGGTCACTCTGCTAAGGTGGTCGTGTGTTCTCAGAAGCCCCAACAGAAGGTGGGGATGCTCAAGGGCTGGTAGCTGCAAAGCAGAGGAGGAGGGGCGGGCAGACTGCCTTACCTTACCCAGGTAGTAGTCCTGGTTTTGGCTGAGTTCATTCTCTTCCCTGTAGCTGGTGCAGTGCTCTCTTTTGGCTTTAGTCTGAGAACAATGCTGGTAACACACCAGTGGTTTAGTTGTTGCTGGGTAGCACTTACCCTGATCAAGGACTTTTCAGTCTCTCATGCTCTGCCAGTGAGGAGGGGCACAAGAAGCCAGGAGGAACCTGACCTGAACTAGCCACAGAGGTATTCCAGACCACAGCATGTTATGACCGGTATAGAAACTGGGGGAGTTGGACAGAAAGGACCGTTTGATGCTGGATCAGGCTGGGTATTGGTCAGCGGGTGCTGAGCAATTGTATTGGGCAACACTTGTGTTTTCTGGATTTTCATTTCTTTTTTTTTCTGTTGCTTCCTAGTATTATTATCATTTCTGTTATTGTTGGTATTATTTATATTATCACTGTATTTTACTTGCTTTCAATTATTAAACTGTTCTTATCTCCACGTACAGGTTTTCTATTCTTCCGATTCCCACCACCGTCCCACCAGGGGATGGGCGAGCGGCTGCCTGGTGCTGAGTTACCAGCTGGGTTTAAACCAGGACAGAGGGACGCTCCAGCCAGGCGTCCTATGGTGTCTGCCCACTGCTCCAACACAAAAGCACCTTCCAACAGCCCCCAAAGCCAGATCCCCCTATCTCCCAGTGCCCCTCACCTCCCAGCACTACCATCTCCCAGCCCCGCCTGCCTCCCAGGACTGTGTTTTCCCCCAGGACTCCCCCAGGAATGTTGCTAGCCTCAGACCAGGGGTCTCTGAGCAGGACTCTCCCTGCCCCCTCTCCATCCCTTGGGTAACCAGGGGGCTGGGAATGACCCCTCTTCCTGGGGCATGAAGGATCCCGGGATTAGGGAACACTGGGAGGTGGGAGGACAGCTGCGGTGCACTGGCAGGTGGGGATACTGCCGGGTGACTGGGATCTTCAGTCACAGGAGGCGATGGGGAGCACTGGTGAATGCTGGGCACAGGGAGATGAGGGTTCGGCTTGAAGGAGTGCTGGGGTGGTCAGAAGGCCCAGCTCCAGCCCACCCCATTTCCCATGCACTGTAGTCCCCAGTCTTGGGCAGTCCACAGCCATGGCCTCCCCAGTGCAGAGAACGGAGCAGAATATCCCCTGCCCTGACCACCAGCCTGCCACTGCCTGGGGCCACCATACCCACCCAGGTCACTGGAGTCCCACTCTGCAGAGCTGCCTCCAGATGGTGGGTCCCAATGACTCTGTCCCCAGCAAGGCTCTGGCTCCCTGGGTGGCACTCGGACACTGGTCACCCAAGGCCCTTGTCCCCAAGGGATGTCCCTTCAATGCCCTCATCCTTGGCCAGGCCAGCTCTGTCCCCGAGCAGGATGTGGCCACCCGGAGGGACACCGTGAAGCAGATGCTTGTCCTCAGGCAGCCACTTGGAGCTAATTGCAGGGACAACATAGTTCCCATGGCAACAGGAGAGATGTTTGTTCTTGTCATCCCTCCTGTCTGTGTGTAGCTGATAAGCTTTATTTGCCTAGGGCCAGGAAGTGCTGGGGTGGTCACGGTGCCCAGCTCCAGCCCACCCCATTTCCCATACCCTGCAGGCCCCAGTCTGGTCCAGTCCCCATGTTGCCCCAGGGGAGCCCAGAGGGAGCCCTGCTCAGCCCCACTGTGACATCAGAGCCGCCAATCTTGACGCAGAACTGGGCACCCATACAGCGTTGTGGGGCAGGGAAAGAGCCCACAGCTGCACATGACTGTTGCCCGGGGCAGGGACACTCCCGTGGAAGGGCGGCGTGGAGCTGCTGCTGGAACTGGTTTTGCCTGAGGAGCCCAGACTGCTGAGGCTTAGGAGGAAGAACTGAGCAGGGAGGCTGCCTTTGCCCAGAGATGGCAAGGAGAAAGGCACCGTGGAAAAGAGACCAAGAGACCTTAAATGTCTCCTTTGAGACCACAGCTGACCAACGGTCAGCACGAGATGCTGCAGGGCGGAGCCACAGCCAGGCGAGTAGGTACGAAGTTGGCTGCTCATGCATGGGGCATCAGCTTAGGACGGTAGCTGGGACACGGCCTAATACAGCCAGCAGGTCACGGATCAGCATGGGGAAGCTGACAGACGCTTCTGCGCAAGAGCCCTGTGCATTGCCCACCCCCTTTCTGGTGGGCCGTGGCTGAAAGCATGGCTTGCTCTCCCAGCAAGCACTGAGAGCAATCGGCATCTTTTTTGTTTTCCTCCCACAGGAGCCTTTTCACAGAGGTGGAGCTGGTGAAACGCCTTCCTCAGTCCACTCCCAGCTCATCCTCTCCAGGGCCACCAAAGCGTCATGACAAGGCCACTGCACTTGCAAGTAAGCTCAGCACTGGCTCTTGCTGCAAAGTCCTTGGGGTGAACTCCGAGCGCTGCACTGTGCCAGAAGTCTGGCAAAATGTCACAAGTGGCTGGAGAAATGCAGGCTGCTCTGCTCTTCACCCCAGAGAGGTGGTGCCTAGGCCTCGGTGCTTGCCTCCCTGCAGGGAGCCAAAACGCTCTTGGCTGAGCATCCTGGAGAAGAGACCTCAAGACAGAGGCCTAACTTTTCCCTGGTTTCTTTGCCCAGGGACGGTCTTCAGCCTTGTTTGCCATGCGGCAGGTACCCTTGCATCCCTGTGGAGATACCTGCTGATCGTGTGCATCTTCACTGTGTACGTACTACCTGTTTCTGCTGTTGGGCTTTTGGGGAGGCGGTAGCCTCATGCTGCAGGGGTCAGGGTGCAGGGAGGGAGCGGGTGAGAATTGGGCTGTGCTGCCGGCTGTGCTTCGAGCAATGGGGACTGCTGCTGCCGCCGCCAGCTTCTTCCTGTTCCTCCGCTGCAGGCTGCATCTTTGCTGTCAAGCAGAGATGGGGAAAGGAGTATGTATGTACTCCGTGTTTCTGTGTTGGACACGGGGAGAAAGGAGATGTCTGAGGGCCAGTGCAAGCAAAGGGGAGAGCAAGGGGTGTTCCTCAGCCAGCTCCCCACTCTCACAAGCACTGCTCATGTTGTGGCCGTTCTCAGGGAGAGCCAAGAGTAAAGCCACTGGGCAGTCTCCCTGCCACACATTCACCAGAGGCCCAGACTTTGGTCATGGTAGGACAACCTGCTGTGTAGCCAGACGCAGGGGTGCGGAGGCGGAAGTCCTGATTTGCTCAACCTCTTTACTTTCGGGGAGTAGTGAGTCCTGGAGTTCTTCTTTGGGGGAAGAGCTGCTGGCAGTTTTGAAAGGTGTGGACAGAAAGTGCCCCTCCTGGGCTCTTCCCTGGCAGCTGGCTGTCAGCAGCAGGCTTCCAAAACAGTGGCTTTCGTGCCTGGAAGTGGTAATCCAGCTGGTTTGCTCGAAACCTGGCTCATTGACAGACATAGGACACCCTCCTTTTTCAGGCAAAAGATGGCCGTGCACAAGAAGAGGTTCTTGAGATTCATTGTCTTCTTGCTTCCAGTGGTTCTTGGTGAGTCTGTGTGAGCAACCATTTGAGAGTAACAGCCTGGTTGTGCTGGGTGCCAGCTTTTCTTTTTGGCCCATATGTGTGGAAACTCGCATTGTCCAAGTGCTTCTGGTGTGCATCCTTGACAAGGACTTGCTTTTCAGCTAGCAGTAAGACTGGTAGCCTCCCAGCCATGCTGCTGCACTGGCCACAGGACCAAAGGGCTTGCTTAGTCTGCAAGCCTGCGAGAGAAGGGAGCATGTATTTCCAAGCCTGAACTGGGGGATACCCAGAGGGGCTGTGCAGGGTGACTGATGCCCCTCCTGATACCTCTCCTGGCTGATGTAGCCTGGTCTCAGGGCTCACAGGAGCAGTAAGGGGAAATGGGAAAGAGCTCTGGGTCACCGAGCACACCTGAAGCTCATGGCTACACAATGCCCTGAAGCCTGTGGTGATGGTTTCCAGTCAGAGGCACGTCCTGTCTCTGCACCCTGTGTTCCCCACCTCCTCAGCTTAGCTGCTGCCCCATCCACAAGGCAACCAGGAGGAGACCATGGTGCTTCAGGGACCACTAGCAACCCAGGTCAAGTGACTGTCTCTTGGTGATGTGAATTGCAGCTGGTGTTTACTGTGGGACCTCACTGCCAGCGTGGACAATGCAGGCAAAGGCACAGAGAGAGGTTGGTGGACCCTCTGGGACAGGCAGCTCCTGCAAGGGAGCATTGCTGACAGTGGCTGGCTAAATCGTGGGCTTTTCTGTGTCCACACAGAGTGAGCCAAAGAAGCAGTGGCTTTTGCCGGGGCTTCCTAGGGAAGCCTCTCCTGGGAAGCCCCAGCAGCTCTGGTGGTGGATACTCTAACAGAGAGTTTTTCCCTTTCAGGCTCTGACACGGGCAGCCGCAGCAGAAACAAAGATGCTGAGGTAAGAGATGTTTCCTGAGCTGGAATTGGACCTATGCAAACAGCATCAGCCAACCTGTCATGGTTTAAGCCCAGCCCGTAACTCAGAACCACACAGCCGCTCGCTCACTCCCCCTCTTCTCTGTCCCCCTGCTCCCCGAGGGATGGGGAGGAGAATCAAGAGAATGTAACTCCCGCGGGTTGAGACAAGAACGCTCCAGTAACTAAGGTGTAGCACAAACCACTGCTGCTACCACCAGTAATAATAATGATAAAGGGAATAACAAGGGAAGAGAATACAACCGCTCCCCACCGGCTAATGGTTCCCAGCCCGACCAGAGCCGTGATCTAGCCCTTCCGGGTAACTGCCCCGTTTATATACTGGGCATGACGTGCTGTGGTATGGAATACCTCTTTGGCTAGTTTGGGTGCAGCGTCCTCTCTCTGCTTCCTCCCAGCTTCCCCTCCTCCCTGGCAAAGCATGAGACTCAGAATGTCCTTGGTCAGAGTAAACATTACTGAGCACCAACTAAAACCAGCGGTGTTATCAGCGCTGTTCCCAGGCTGAAAGTCAAAACCACAGTGCTGCACCAGCTACTGAGAAGGAGAAAAATTCCTGCTACGGCTGAACCCAGGACAACCTCGTGCTACCTGCACCCATTTTTCTAACAGCCACGGCTCCTGTACTTCCCTCTGGCCATTGCCTTTCTTTCAGCGTGGGGAGCAAGGGAAGCATTCACAAACCAGAAAGCCCTGTGTCTCTGCTCCTTGCAGAGGGAATGGGCTGCTCTCTGACAACATCTGCTTTCCTGTTCCTGCAGGAATTTGCACACCTTGTTGACAGAGCAGACCCAAAAGTTGCAGCTTCTGCTGGAGGAGGTGGCTCAGCTGAAGGTGGAGATAAGCCGTTTGAAGAAGGTAACCCTGCATTTTGGAGAAGAAGGCTTGGCTGGGCAGAAGCCCTGAGGAAGCACTACCTGGGATTAGTAGTGGGCTCAGCCTGCTGAGCGCAGCAAGCCAGCTTGTGCCAGGGTATTGCTGGGTGAGCTTTGGCACTGCCCAGGCCCTTCTCTGGGCCCAGGTTAACTGGTGCTTCAGGCAGTAGGAATCTTCCAGCATTCTTCCCTTGGCACGGGCACCTTTGGCTGCTCTGGCTGGGCCCTGAGCAGCAGGGAGACCCAGGCCCACTCCCATGGCCAGCCTTTGTGGACATGGCCTGAGCATGGAAGGTGGGAACAAGGGAGTGAGGACCCCATGGTCGTGGCCACATATACTGTGCTTGTGGCTCACGTCAGCTGCAGTCTCTCAGCTTACTGGACAAGGCTTGCCTTGTGTTTCTGACACTGACCCTCTGCCTTTCTGGGTGCTGGTAGCCATGCTGAACTGACTGCTGACGTGCTCATTTTCTGTGCTTGTTTGTGTGTTTCCCAGGAGAGGCAGGAGGTGAACCAGGCAGCCCTGGAGTTGGCTTCGGAAGTCTACATCAGAAGATCTGACTGGGCCCTGAAAAGTTCTGGTATGGACACAGCAGCCCATTCTCCTTGCCATGCACTTGTCTGTAGCACTCCCCAAAGGAGGATGTCCTCCAGGTGCTGCTCTCCTAAGCAGGGGAGCTGAAAGCAGGGGAGCTTCATGAGGTCCGAGAGCATGTCTGTGGCAGTGGCTCTCTTGGATTCCCTCCTGGTCCCGCTTCTGCGCTGGTGCCTCTGGCACTGCCCCCCCCACATTCCAGGGCTGACGGAGGGGCTCTCTTCCTCATCAATGCATTTGGAAAGAGCACGGATGGGTCATCCTTTATTGCCCACACAGCAAGCCCTCAGCTTTGGTCTGCCCTCATTCACCAGCACCCTCAGGCCTTCTACTTGTGGCGCTGAGAGGAGCAGACACCAGGCATATGGGTGCTGTCATCCTGCGCAGCTAGGCACCCCTACCAGCATGGAGATGAGGAGAGGACTGACAGACGTGGAGCTGTCCAGCAGCATCAGAAAGGGCGTCTGAGCACAGGGTCCTCCTACTCGGTGGCCTCGTGCAGTCACCTGCTCTCCCTTCCTTACAGGTGCCACCATTGACATGCAGAGAACTTCAAAGACCTATGACTGCAAAGAGAATTGGGGCTGCAGGGTTTTATGGTTCTTCCACACTCCCAACCCTCCTGATACGATTTTGGAGGTATTGTAGCAGAAACCACCAGTGCATGTTTCCTTCCTGAGAAGCTGGGGACTGACCTTGGGCATTGTCCTCTCAGTCCAGTGGTAATGCTCAAGCCCACAGTGCTGATCTGTTGCCTGAAGCCAAAGCTTGGACTCAGGGCTGGCCTCGATAGAAAGCAGTGGCTCCCCTCAGGAGGGGAACAGAGCTCAACTGCAGCATCTTGCCCACAGTCCTCAGTCACAGCCGGGTGAACGACTTTCTCCCTGGTGACCTCATTTCCATACTCAGCCCTAGCAGTTCCTTTCTGGGGTGGGAGGCAGGGGGTCCTCTGCAGAGCCACTGGGCAGAGAGCTGTGTCTGTAAGGGCCTGACTAGGTTGGCTTAGTAACAGGTATTCTCCTCTTTTCATAATACTGAGAGGCTGCTGCTTGTGTCTCATTTTCAAGCCTCATTTTCAAGATGGACTAGACCCCCCAGACACACCAGCACCTGTGCTTCAGGCTACATGAGCAGCTGTGTTGAACTGAACATGGGCTCACGTTTCATTAACTCTCACATTCTGATTGCAGCCGGATATTTCCCCAGGAAACTGCTGGCCATTACAAGGGCACCAGGGCCAGGTGGTCATCAGGTTGCCAGCACGAGTCCATCTGACTGCTGTCAGTGTGCAGCACACCTACAAAGAGGTCTCTCCATCTGGGACCGTCACCAGTGCCCCCCGAGACATCGCTGTCTTTGTAAGTCTCTGCTGGGTGCTTCTGGCTGGCACGTGGCCCTGGGGCAAAGCCGTGACTGGAACTTGCTTGCTTTGTGCAAGCTTTGTGCAAGCAAGTCCTTGGAGATTTGTGTCCTGCTTTCTCCTAAGCCCTGCAGTGCACTTGCAGGATACTTCAGGGGCTCTAGGGGTTCCATCCCTCTCAAGACTCATTCTGGTGAGAGCACCTCAGGGCTCTTGAATAAAACACAAGGTGGAGACAGTGCTTAACTACTGCTAGAGCCCCAGGAGAGGCTCAGTAGGTAACAGCCCATGCAGTATATGCTGATCCAGCACATACAAACATCCTCTTTGCCGGGACAAGTCTGAGCTTCTCTCCTTCCTCCTTGTGCTTTTCCCTTGAGGGATTGAATGCAGACAGAGAAGAGGAAACTCTCCTTGGGATGTTCGTGTACAACGTGGCAAAAGAGGCTATTCAAACCTTCCCTCTGAAGGTACAGTCTGTGCATGAAGGCAAGATGCCCAGAGAAAACCAGCAGTGCCTGCAAGTCCGTGGCAGGAAGAGCGTGAATGCTCTCTCCCCTGGCGCAGGGGCCCAGACCACTGCCGAGGAGGCCTGGTGGAGCTGGGAGGACTGAGTAGCATGCCGTGGGGGTAGCAGCAACAGGTTTGCAAGGGCAGGGTTGCTCCTGTGGGAGCTTAAGTCCTGAGAGACCCCTGGCTGCAGCTGCTGCCTTCAGCAGAGCCAGCTGCACACATGGCCTCTCCACCAAAGCAACATCTTTGTGCCAGGAGAAATAGGGATACCTGGTGGGGAAAGCTGCCGGACAGCATTGTCGCTCCACCCTTTGGCCTGCTGACAGGCTGGACAGTGTCCTTTCCTCCCAGCACAACACGTCCCTTTTCTCCTGGTGCCCTCACACCTGCCAGGAGGAAGGCAGGCAGAGAGCATGGCGGGAGCTTAATGGACTTTCACACCAACTGTCTCACGCATAGGAGGACCTCCCCAGCCTCTCTGTCAGCACACAGCAAGCTGCAGAGGGAAGGGGGCAAAGGGAAGGGAGGCGCAGTCCCCAGCAGGCCAGGTTCCAGAGGGTGTCTTCTCCCTTCCCGTGCCTCCAGTCTCTGCAGGAGCCCTGGTACCAGCAGTGAGCCTCAGATGCCTACAGCCACTCCTACCCACTTTTGGAAGCTTGTTCCTGAGCAGGAGCAGGGCAGGCAGGGGGAGAAACGTCAATTGCACCGTCACACTTAACACCTCAGTTTTCTTGTCACTCTCTTCACAGAACACACACAGAGCCTTTGCGCACATCAAACTTATTGTGAAGAGCAACTGGGGAAACACGGCCTACACCTGCATTTATCGAGTGCAGGTTCATGGAAAGATGGAAGAACAAGAAAACCTCAGCTGAAACCAGACAAGAAAAAGAACACAAGTAAAAAAGAGAAATGGGGGAGGAGGAATAAATGGTTTGTCAGATCAGAGTGGTGTAGAGGATCTGTCTCTAAAGTAAGGTGTGCAGGAAGGTCCATTGGGGGATGGGTAGCAGCACCCGCTGACAGGGCTACAGGGCAGCCTGCAGGCAGCGGATGTGGGTCACCCACAATCCTTGGGACAGCTCCTTGGGGCTGCCAGGGGCTTGTGAGCTTCCTCTTTTAATTTCCCAGTAGCGGGGCTGGAGAAGCATTGGATTCCCCAGTGCACCATCAAAGGGGTGTGTGTGATGCCTGCCTTCTCCCGGGGGTGGTTTCAGGGGTGTGCAGCCAGCTGTGCAGCCAGGGGTACCGCGGGTTGTCATTCCAAGTAGGGTCCCTGCACCCCAGGGGCTGCGAGTTGGAGCAGCCTGGGTGAAGTCATCTCCCTGCTGAAAGAGCCAGCGCAGGGCAGCTGAGACCAAAGCTGATGGACAGGTGAGATCTTCTGAAAAGCTCTTTGATATCTCGTGTGAATTTCATTTGACACAACAGCCCCATATGCGCTCCTGCCGTGTTCCTCTTTCCTTACTGCTGGAGGGCAGGACTGGCTCTGCCAGAGCCCCGGCAGAGCCCGCTCCTTCCAGGGACACCCTCAGCCTGCACCAACCAGAGCTCATGGAAGGGACCTGCCAAAAGTCTTCCTGAAACCAGAGAAGAGGCAGTTTCAGGGTGCTCAGTGAGAAATGCATCAGGTTTCCCCCAGAGAATTCTCCCCTAAATTGTCACTGTCCTTTCCCTTTTGGAAAGCCCCCCATAACAGGCTCAAGCAAATGTCCAGTGGCAGCTCCGTCACCCACTTCCTCCTCCTGCCATTTGCAGGCACATGGGAGCTGCAGCTCTTGGATGTCTGACTCTTCCTCGGCATCTACCTGACTGTACTCCTGGGCAACGAACTCCTCATCACCACCACAGCCTGCAACCAGTGCCTTCACACCCCATGGACTTCTTCCTCCTCGACCTCCCCCTGCTGGACCTGTGCTCCATGTCCACCGCTGTCACTAAAGCCATTGCCAGGTCCCTCTGGAACACCAGGGCCACCTTCTTCCTGGGATGTGCTGCCCAGGTCTTTTTCTTTCTCTCCTCAAACACACACGAGTTTTATCTTCTCACCATCACGCCCTACAACCACTATGTGTCCATCTGCCAGCCCCTGCATGACGGGACCCTCCTGGGCAGCACAGCTTTTGTGTCCACAATGGCAGCAGCTGACTGGGCCAGAGGGTTCCCCAGTTCTCGGCTGCACACTGTGGGACTTTGTCACTTCCCTCTGCTAAGGCAATGCCCAAAGGACCAAAGCTGGTGGAGCAGAGTGGGTTCCTGTCCCCACTCTGCCTGTTCTGGGACAGTTCTGCCACTGTCCAGAAGCTCTGGGAGAGCTTGGGAGCCCTTCCCTGAGGCCATGTATGAGGAGATCGGTTACAGCTCAGCATGGAAGAAGCAGGCAAGGTTCAGTTGCCCATGTTCAGTGGCTCCCCTCCATGGGGCACATCTGCCAGGCTTTTCCCCCTTACTCCCTGTCCTGGGTTCAGCAGTAGCAGTCATTTTTCTCCTTCTTGGTAGCTGGTGCAGTGCTGTGTTTTGACTTTCGGCCTGGGAACAGAGCTGATAGCGATGTTTTGGTTTGGCCAAGGACTTTGTGAGCCTCATGCTCTGCCAGGGAGGAGGGGAAGCCAGGAGGATGCAGAGACAGGACACCTGACCCAAACTGACCAAAGAGGTATTCCATACCACAGCACGTCATGCCCAGGATGTAACTGGGAGTTAGCCGGAAGGGCTGGGACTGCAGGGTGGGAGGAGGTATGGGTCAGTGCTTGGTCGGGCCTGCGGGGTGAGTTATCGGTCGGCTGGTGGTGAGGTGATGTATTCTCTTCCCTTGTTATTTCCTTTATCGTTGTTATTGGTGGTAGCAGCAGTGATCTGTGTTATACCTTAGTTACTAAACTGTTCTTATCTCAAGCCGTGGGAGTTGCATTCTTTTCGATTCTCCTCTCTGTCCCTCCGGGAGTAGGGGGAGAGCAAGAAGGGGGGGCAAGTGAGTGAACAAGCTGTCTGACTGGGTTTAAACCACGACACTCCCCCACCCATGGCTGACCCCCTGCGCTGGGGTCTGCGGGGAGAGCAGCAAGGTCCTGGGCCCAAGAGTGGAGCTTCATCTCACCAGTTCTTCCTGTCCAAGCCAGGGACAGCCCCTGTCTGTGTGCTCCTGCCTGCTGCGTGACACCTGAGGGTTGAGGGAAGGTCCTGTCCCAGGGCAGCTCTGGGAGACCCGTTGAGACAGGGCTTGTCCCAGGGGAGCAGGGCGAGTCCTGAGCCCTCCTCCCACTCAGCCTTTTCTCTGTGGGTCCCCCCAGCAGCGAGCACAAGCTTCGTCACCAGAGCACATCCCATAACATCACAAGGTTCCTATTCAAAGAGGTCCCCGACTTCCAAGATTCTAGGAGTCTTTCAGACTGTAATTTGCGATTCTCTCTCCTTAACTGTTGGTGTTCCGGGGGACTTGTCTGTGGCATTTAACCCATGGCAAAGGTCATGCAGAGCATCTGCGCTTCTGGCTACACCCTTCAGAGAAGCCACCTGTGTGCACTGCAAAGGGGAGTGTTGAGATGGGCTGTGTCCTTGGCGAAACCCCTGTTCCTGCGGGACACACAGCCCTGCCTGGGAGAGAGCATGTAGAGAAGGGCTGTGCTGCATTCACAGGGCAGTGTTTAGCTCCACTCAAGTGACATGATGCTCTCAGAGCTCTCTGCCTTGCTCACGCTGCTCCTCTCCCTTCGTCCTCACCTTGCTGGGTTTTGGCTGCGGCACAGACATGGAATGAAGACAGACAGTCATCCTCAGCCATGCACACCCCCTCGCACTGCAGCTGAAGGCAAGAGACCAGCTCTTTGGGAGTGTTTTTTATTAGACTCATATTGGAAGTAGTAGAGGAGCCATGCAGAGGGAATGTCGGAGGCCAAAAGAGAGAGCAGGTATTCCAAAACTGAATACAAGAGACTGTATAAAGTGTCAGTGTTCAAATGTCTCCTTCATTCATCTTTTAGAAAAAGAAGAGGCTACTTTATATTAAAACACGGCTCACTGTTGCTCTGTGGGAAGGCATATTGACCTTTGCAGGAATACGAATGACTTGCCAGCATGTAAAAAAAATCAAGCCATTTCTAGAACTGCTCACTGTAGTTTTATTTATGTCAGAAATTCCCAAATTACCCACTTCCAGGGTAACTGCAAGACATACCTCCTCTCTGGATTTTAAAGAGAAGTCTGCTGAGGACAAGGCCTGCTGCATGCAGTATGTTTTGGAACGAGGTTTTGGTTTTCCTCTACTTTTTGTTATGGAAGCTGCTGCTCTTTAGCAACAGCCCTGCTGAATTATTCACCCTAGGGACTGGTGGTGAAAACACAAACCTAACTGGAGATCCTCCAGCTCTCTGGTTCTACTACAGTGCTCAGAAATAACCAAAAGACAGGGTCTACAGCAACAAGAAGAAGAAAAAACTGATAAATTAATCCCTCTGGGTAGCCTAAATAAGTGTATAGCAGCATCCTTTAACAGCATGGTACAAGACCTCCCACTGGAGAAGATACATGCTCTCTATGAGCCGTTGGCTGAGCAGAGGAATTCCAGCAAAGCATGTTTTGTCAGTTTGGGGGCATCAGTAAGATGTAGCTTCTGTTTTCTTCACGCTCAAAAGTCCAGTCTGTGAACCTGTGCCACAAGCTACACACAGCATCATATCTAGAAGACATGTACCTTCCATTTGGAACATCTGGATTTCTCCTTTAGAATTAAAAAAAAAGTTATCTCTTTTGCTGGAGAAAGTGTTGTGTGGGGGTATTTTTTGAAAGACTGCAAAGCACCTCAAACCAAAACAGCAATTGTCACTTACAGGAGTTAACCCTGCAAGCTGTGTGCACTCTGAAGTGCCCAAAGGAAGGCTATTGGCTTTATCCTAGCCCAATTTCAGCATAAAGTACCAGAGCTCAGGGAAGGGACCTGCCAAAAGTCTTCCTGAAACCAGAGAAGAGGCAGTTTCAGGGTGCTCTGTGAGAAATGCATCAGGTTTCACCCAGAGAATTCTCCCCTAAATTATTACAATTTCTGTTATTGTTGGTATTATTTATATTATCACTGTATTTTACTTGCTTTCAATTATTAAACTGTTCTTATCTCCACGTACAGGTTTTCTATTCTTCCGATTCCCGTCACCGTCCCACCAGGGGATGGGCGAGCGGCTGCCTGGTGCTGAGTTACCAGCTGGATTTAAACCAGGACAGAGGGACGCTCCAGTTTGCCCTCATCTGCCCTTACCTGGGGCACACGGTGTGTGGGAAGGGAATCTCCTTTACACAGACACCACAGGAGCCCACACTCCCTCAGCCACTCTGCTCACTGTGGTGATGCAGCCAGAGAGGATCCAGGCATGCGGCCGCTGGCAGAGGAGAGGGGCCACAGACATAGGCACACAGAGCGCAGCTTTGCTGAACGGGTTTATTGATCATGAGAGGGAAATGGCCCAGGGCTCCCCAGGGCTCAGGTGGGGTCCTCCAGGGATGACCACCTCCTCATGCCGCTGGAGGGGGACACGATAAGGATGTCACCACCACTTCCGGTCCTGAAAAACAGATCCCAAAATGAAACAGTCGCCCATGGTGTCTGCTGGCACATGAGAGGGGCCTTGTTCCCAGTGTCTCTCTCTGCAGAGACCTGGGGAAGGAGAAGGGAATTGGAGACCCCAGTAAGCCTAGGATAGGGCTTGGCTCTTGTGAGATCCATAGGGCACCCAGAATCCCTTACAACAGGATGCCTTGAAACCTCCCGGAGCCCTGCCCAGCCCTCACGGTGATCCTGGGGGTCTGCATGGTACCAGAGCCCTTGCCTGTCCGGCACGGTGATCCTCTGCGTCTGCAACGTCCTCTTGCAAGTAATAGAGGAGCCAACAAGGAGAGGTGCCATGTTTTATCTTGTACTCACCAAGGAGCGGCTGGTTGGGAAAGGGATACTCCAGGGCAGCCTTGGCTGTAGCAATCACGAGATGGTTGAGTTTGAGATCCTCAGGACAGTAAGAAGGGTATACAGCAAGCTCACTGCCCTGGGCTTCACGAAAGCAGACTTTGGCCTCTTCTGGAACCTGCTTAGTAAGGTTCCACAGGATAAAGCCCTGAAGGGCAGGAGGGCCCAAGACTGCTGGTCTATATTCAACGATCAACCGGCTTGAGGAAAGGGATGCTTGTATCCTGACCTACAAACTCAGGAGTGTTGTGTAAGGACTAGAAGGAAATGTGGCAGGAAGGCCAGGAGACCTCCATGGGTGGATAAGAAACAGCTGAGAAAACTTAGAAGGAAAAAAGAAGCTTATAAAAGGTGGAAGCAAGGACAGGCAGCCTGTGCAGAATACAGGGACATCGTCCGGGAAGCTAGGGACCAGGTTAGGAAAGCTAAGGCCCAGTTAGAATTAAATCTGGCAAGGGATGTGAAAGATAACGCGAAGGGCTTCTATAGGTATGGAGCAAACAAAACACAGACTAGGGATAATGTAGGCCCTCTCCAGAAACTATCAGAAGAACTGGCTACCCTGGATTTCGAGAAGGCTGAGGTTTGCAATGACTTCTTTGCCTCAGTCTCCACCAGCAAGTGCTCTGACCACGCTGCCCAAGTCTTGGAAGGCAGACACAGGGACTGTGAGAATGAAGACCTTAGGCCCACTGTAGGAGAGGATCAGGTTCAAGATCATCTTAAGAACCTGAACGTGCGCAAGCCCATGGAACCTGATGAAATCAGGACAGAGCCTTGGGCGATATGATCTAGGGTGAGGTGTCCCTGCCCATGGCAGGGGGGGGGAACTAGATGATCTTCAGGTCCTTTCCGTAACTATTCTATGATTCAATGATTTTATGATTTGTACTGGACTACACATAAGAAACCTCTGTCTTATATAAGACTCTGTCTTATATAAAAGACATGATAGCAGAGTGTTCTGGGGCACCAGAAGGATGTGTTTATTTACAACTTAATACAATAGACCTCAAAGTGAATTTAGTTTGGGGGTTTTGGGGGGGGTTGGTTTTCTTTTTTTTTAAGGTTCTTTCAGTGAAATGCAAAGCTTTCACTATAAGAACAGGCAGGCAGTAATCTCAACTGCCTGCTCAGGTCCTCTGCAATCTGAATTTCAAGAGCTGAAAGATGAGCTCAAAAAGCAACATACCTTGTCTGGACCATTTATCTCATTTCCATCTTCTGCCCTTGCATTAAGATCTGGGGCAGAATGCAGGAGGTACTGGGTTACCTGGACCCCTTCCTCCCCAGGAATCGAGGCAGCTATGTGGAGAGGAGTTAACCCCCCTAATTGAAAACACAAACATAGCATTAAGACTCCTGTTTACCAGAAGCAGCACTTAAGTAGTGATAAATAGTATTTTAAGAATAATCCAAGCTCACTCTTCCCATATGCTGTGCCTCAGAATGGCCACCAGAAATCTAGAGCCCGGACTTATAAGACTGTGGAATACTAAAGGCCCCAGACGCTTAGCCTGTTAAATATCACAACAGCTGTAACCAACGTGAGGAGCAGCTTTGCAAATATTCCTCAACCACTCACAAGCTTGGCAACCAGAAAACATAATAAGAAAAAAATACTTGGACAGTAAGGAGCTTTGAGTTCTTTCTACTAAAAAAAAAAAAATAAATCTTTGAATAGGATAATTGCTTTAAACAGCTTTCTGGCCGTTTTAAAGCTGATTCTGACGTGCAAGATATTTTACGGTAGGGCACTGAAGCTGCAGTACACATCTAGAATCCCATTATTATGAATTACCATTCAGTAAAACCTTCGATGGAAGCCGCACATCAGACCTGGCTCCCCTTTTTAAGAGGAGTTCCACTGCTTCTGCATCTGCACCTTTAACAGCAAAGAACAGGAGGTGTGGTGGGGCCCAGGATGCGCTGCGATCTGCACCTTGACGAAGCAGTAGCTGGATTGTTTCCCATCTCTTCTGTCGTCTAGAATTGACATAGAAAATACCAGAATAACATCTTGGCACTTTCCAAGAAAACTCTAAAAGCTAGTGGACTAAAATGGCTTGCAGGTAATAGACTACAACTGTCACTTAGCAGAGGGAAGACATGGCAGTCTTTAGGACCACATCACAACTGTCATACCCCAAGCAGGCAACAATATTATGACCTGAAGAGGAGATGGTACAGTCAGTGTATCTCAGCCCTCTAAACTAAAGCAGTGGCATGCAAAGAGCAGCCTCTGCAGTCATGAAAAGCTGCAGCATGGGGACAGATAAAAGAAGCTAGGCAAGGTTCTCTGCATCTTCACCCATCTCACATGTGACTTGTAAAACATTTAATCTTAGTATTGTTTAATGAAAGAAACAGAGTCCTCCTTCCTGCCATCAAAGACTGCTTGGAAGTTTCTTTCCTCAAGTAAACTTCATTTACCCATCCATCCCAACAAAACAAAGGTACAGTGTTTCTCTTAAACAAAAGCTGGCACTGGAGCTATGCTAGATTAGGACAGTATATTCCAGGTGCCATCTGCATTTCTATGGAGGCAAACTATCCACACACACACACACAAAAGAATCTGACACCCCAACAAAATAAAGCAAACAGCACTTGGATATCACCAATACTTGGATATCACCCAGAAATTGCATCACAAAGTGTTCTCACGGTATACTCATCTTTTCAGGCATTGCAGTAACTCTGCTTTACCCACAAGCCCTACATTCAGCAGATCTCTATATTCCAATGAACGATATGCAGTATGCACACTATTTCAGACAACAAGAATCATGGGAGGTGGGAGGATGTGCCACAAAAGTAAAATGTGGCACAAGTAAGGGATGAAGGTCAGAAGGCCAACCATGAACTTTCAGTCTGGGGGTTTTGAGATGTCAAAATGACCTACACTGCCATAAAACCCACACAAAAATTTTGACATCTTTGGTGACTGCTCTGTAAGCAAAGCAAAAAGTGCCCCTTTCAAAGATCCACAGATGCGAAACAGTTGGCCTACGTTTCAGTTATCACTGCTGAACAGACACTTGCAGAACACAACAAGCAAGTTCATATGCAGTCAAGACTTCAAGTAACAAACAAATATATTCTCCTTCCTCAGCTCTGCACTACACTGCAAGTGTCCATGGCATATTTAGAAGCTTTTCACACTCTTCTAACAAGACGTCTTGCTCAAGCACAATGTCCTTTGCTTGAACTGCATTTTTCAACTTATAATCTTTGTCGCTGCTGCCATGAGCCACATTAGAGTGTATAAACAATTAGTGGTTTCTACTTGAAAGCAAGATTTGTACAGTTAAACAATCAAAAAATATCTTTCCTTGCAATGGATGCACGCTTATGTGACATATGTGAAAAAATGTTACCTCCTTTTTGCAAAACCATTTATGAGAGTTGGTCTCCCATTCCTAGTGCATGAGACTTACTCTGACATTATGCCTTCAGCATCACTGACAGTTTCTGAGGATTCTGATTTTTCAGTCCACTTAAAGATTAAAAAAAAAAAAAAGAAAAGAAAGGTTACTAAAAAGGTTAAAAAAATCTTCTTCCTGTGCATGACTGAGTATACTAACACACCTGTTAATCACACCTTTAATGCAATACAGCGTATAATGATACTGGAATTTTGTTAACCACTGTTAGGGAAATAATTTAGAAGTAAATTGTAACTACGTTTTTGCTTGTTCGTTTGGTTTCATTTCTTAAAATAACAGAATATTTTTCTTCTTCAATTTCAGGGGAAGTTCAGGTCAGATATAAGGAAGAAGTTCTTTACTGTGAGGGTGGTGAGGCACTGGAACAGGTTGCCCAAAAAAGAAGTGGGTAAATGCTCCAACCCTGGTAGTGTTCAACGCCAGGTTGGACAGAGCCTTGGGCAACACGGTCTAGGGTGAGGCATCCCTGCCCATGGCAGGGGGGGTTGGAACTGGATGATCTTAAGGTCGTTTCCAACCCTAATTTTACTATGATTCCATGGTGTCTAAAGCATGTTTAGAACAGTTAAATCTTTCTTCCAGTATACATCACCTAATTTAAGAGAAAAAGAATTGCTGAAATAAAACGAGACACACACAGATTTTCAACCTGCATTAGCTTGCATGAGAATCTGATACTAGGATCTACAAGGTTAATTCTTCCAAATCTGGGTGCACGTTCAACTCAGAGGAAAAGTGAAAGCAGTGTATGTCTACTCGTCAAATCTCACAACTGTTACAGACACGGACCAACATAGAAAGATCCCCTCTCTACTCCTCATTACATTATAGTACTATGAGAGTTACCAGCTCTACACTGATTTTCTGTGCAGTTTCCAGCAGCAGCTCTCTCTCACTCCCCTTCTCCCTTTCCCATAATTGCCTTGCAACTTCAGCAGTGTTTCGCATGATCACATGATCATACTCTTGGCACTGGAAGAGTGACTTCAGAGCAACCAAGGATTACTTGGGACTTAATTTCCAACAAGTTTCCTCGAAGCATGGGCCTAATCTGTCTAACCTCATGCGAAAGTCCCAGAGGCACCCCTTCCATTTCTAGACTACGTTGAAACACTTCTAAGACCACACAGTTCCTGCCCAGACCCCTTTTTCAGCCGTTTTCTCATCCTGGCTGGTGATTCCCGACATCCTTGCTTTCATTGCTTTCCCATTCCCATGTTTGTACTCTTACAAAATTCATATCCTGTTCCTACACAGGAAGCAAGAGCAGGTGTTTCATTTTGTGGCAGAAGAAAGGTTAGGGATACGACTCTTCCTTTTTGAGTACTCCCCAAGCATCAGCAGACTTCTGACAGAACAATTGCTTTTTAGTAGCCACCTCCATGATGCCAGCAAGGTTACCCAGCACCAGGAGAATCACCTACATCCTACTGTTCTACTTACACTTTTGTAATTCCCATTAACTCTCCCACTGCATCCTCACCGTGTTAAACACCTCGCCAGCATAGCCTCGCATTCTGCTATGGACACAGTGCCTTATTTCAATTGCTGAGTAAGCTTGTAACTAACTGCACAGGGGCATGTTCCTTCGAGTTAGGAGTCAGCAGTGAGAGCAGAGATTATTCTGTAGTCTCAGAGTGCAAAATGTATTAAACTTCTGAGTTTGTCCTAGGGAGTATATACAGTAAATTTTAAAAGCAAGCTTACAGGTTGACAAAATAATGCATTATGATTCTGTTATTTTAGATTAGAAGTAAACAAACCTTGTAACTGTGCAAGCTCCTCTCAGCAGTATTACCCTTAAAAGATTCTTCTGGATAAATGAGAATAAAACACATGGAGAGAGCAGGTAATCCTTCATCACTACACTTACTCACATCAGCTCCACTATGAAGAAGAAGATTGACAACAGCATTATGGGAATGAACCTGTAGAGGGGAAACATCCATATTTGCACATATAAGAACACACTTCTAGCGTGGGACATGGAAAGAACTGACAACACAATTTTGAGGTAATGATGCTCTACACTGTTTGTCTAATTCACATTTATATTTTCCTCAAAACAGAAGCTCAGTGTCTTACAGGGTTCAGAACAGAACATTTTTTGGTTAATTTTAAACTAATGGATTTTGCAGGAATTCATCGAGGATTCGTGCACAGAGAGACTAGAAATGACTGAGATGGCTATAGGAGAAATACAGCGTTTGAAATTATCTAGCTTCTGCTTGGCATTTACAGTGAATACTGAGTACAGCTGACAGCAAAACAAAGAAGAAAGGCAGGGGGAGAGACTGCATCCCCCTCCGACAGAAATCGGAGTTGTACACGCATAGCTTCAGCCACCACCACTTTTCAGCAAAACCAAAACAACTCTGTGTGCATCTGATTTCAAATAGGAGAAAAAATAATAAGGGCACAGTCACATCCAAGAACGTAACACCGCATAATCACAACCTGAAATCAAACCTGGCATTCGAAATCACTGCTAATATTTACTGAAGGGCTTCTTTTAGGTTATTTATTCACCACAGGGGTTGGCACGATACCAGTCATTACGGACACTACTCATGCCACACCGCTTTTCTGGTTTTCCTGCTTGTTGAACATTCCTTCGTACTATGTAAAGAAACAAGAGAAAAATTTTATCCAGCCTACTACCCCAGGAATTTTCTTATCATGTGGTAAAGAGTCATGCTTAGAATCTTGCAGCTGCAGCAGCAAGTGCTGTGTATCCACGCTTGTCAGCTACGTCTGGATGAGCAAGCCCGTTCCTCAGAATCAAACAGACCCCATCATATTCTCCTCTTGCTGCCTTCTTAATTAGCTGCTCCGAGGCAAGTTCTCTGGGGCGTGGAGGCCCGTAAGCATTGCGGGCTCCGCTGAGAATGAAGCTGACATCTGAACTGAACTCCATTTGACTGACTCCGTTTAAGCAGCCAGGTACTCTCAGACCACTACTGCAGTTACAGAAAATGCATCAAGAATAAAATATGCTGGTCAGCAAGATGGGAAAATAAGGCTAGCTATCATTTTAAGAGCTATTTTAGATAGTGTGAGCTTGCTTATATTAATGGGGTGCTGGCAGTAGCATACAGCTTTTATGTAGGCAAGTTAAAAGTATTTTAGATGTTTGATGGATGGATAAGAAAACAAAATGTAACTTCCATGTGTTTTTATGAACCAATTTAGCATGCAGAGTCATGACATTTGTTTATGATTTAATTTTCATCGCCTGCTTTGACTATAAAATATACATATGTAGCTTGTGTTCCTATCAAAAAAGCAAATAAGGAAATACTCTGTGGGCTCAAAAAGCATCTCCGCATACAAGTATCAAGCTACATAAAAACTGATGTGCAGTTGGCAGTTCTACTGGCTGTAGGCTTTTTTGTTACAGCGTATTTTGTATAGCCTTGAAGAAGAACAAGAGTCAAGACAACCACAGCGAGTTATCAACAGCCACATTTTCAGTACTTTTGAAAACCTGGCACTATGCTTCTCCGTATTTTTATTTCCATGCATGACTACACTCTCAGGACAGCGAAGATCAGAACAGGTCTCCACAGCCCTTGACTCCCAATTCTTTTCAAAACTGGACTTCCACAAACCCTGACTTGGTAATGAGTAATGGGATTATTTTTCTAGGTGTGACCAGGAGAAACCTAACCTTTAACTTAAAGGAATAAAATCTATAAATTGAGAGGTGAATACGTTATTTGCTTCCTTTTTTTTAAAAAAAAAACAACCTTATTGACAACTTGTAATCTCAAGGCCACAAAACCCAATCTGGAGTGCAGCTTTTATCCTGCAACGCAAATTCGAAAATAATGAACACCCATGGATAGTAACTGATAAAAACCCACACATAATAAACAAACCATCAACAGTTACCTGTGCTTATACACATGCATCTGCATTCTAACATGCCAAGGGTCCTCCTCAGAAAGCTTCCAGGTGTTCTGAAAATACAGAGCATCACACTCTTCCAGGAAGGAGTGAGTCAAAGCAAGATGATCCATGTTAAGAGAATATGCAAAGACTCCTTCAGGTAAAATATCCTTATCATCAAAAGGGAGATGTTTATAGCTATGGAGAAATGGGTCTTCCTCAAGTGAAATATACTCCTTCTGAGATCTGTCATCAATGTATCTGCAGTGTGCTGGATAATCCAAGACAGAAAAATAACCAGGTACTTCAGTACATAGTTGATTCAGTCAGCTGATCGGAGCTAGCCTAGCTAGAGCCACAGCCGGCACGCTTCAGCGACGCGAGGGTCATCGGAGATTAGGAAAATCAGAGGGGATAGCGCAGAGACATCGCGATTCCCAACATCTCCCGATCCCCGAAGCCCCAGCAGCCCTTGCGAGAGAGGCTGACGTGGCGGGGGGCGTTTCCACGGTGACGGCGGGAGATTTAAACGCGGCCCAAACTCGCTACTAGCATTCAGTCAGCTGATCGGAGCTAGCCTAGCTAGAGCCACAGCCGGCACGCTTCAGCGACGCGAGGGTCAACGGAGATTAGGAAAATCAGAGGGGATAGCGCAGAGACATCGCGATTCCCGACATCTCCCGATCCCCGAAGCGCCAGCAGCCCTTGCGAGAGAGAGGCTGACGTGGCGGGGGGCGTTCCCACGGTGACGACGACCACTCCCCTGCTGCTTGCCTTGAAAAAGCCTTTGAGAGAGCAGCGACAGGTCGCTGCCCACCGGGCACAGGGAGGAACACGCAGGTCGTGTTGCTGGTGTCCCAGACTGCGCACCAATATGGTTGCCTCCAGAAAGAGAGCTTGCAGTAAGGTGACTGCAGCAACTCAGACAGAGACCCCGTCCCAGACCGTGGCTGTTCAGGTCTCTGGGTGCAGGGAGTGCCAGAGCCTGCTGCTGCCGGGGGAGGGAGGACAGCACTCCACCTGTGTGAGGTGTGAGCAGGTAGAAGATCTGCTTAGCCTGGTGGCAAGACTTAAGGAGGAGGTTGAGACACTGAGGACCATCAGGGAGTGTGAAAGGGAGATCGACTGGTGAAGTAACTCCCTGGCGGGCCAGTCGAAATGGTTCCAGGGAGATACCCCCCAAAAGGGGAAGGACCCCCTGCCTTCTCACACAGAGGGGGATGGCCCAAGGCAGCCCCTGCCCTGCAGCTGTTGCGCAGAGGTAGGGGACCAAAAAGACGACGAGGGTTGGAAGCGAGTTCCAGTTCGACGTCATGGGAAACCCTCCCCCCTTCCTGCCCTGCTTCCCCAGGTGTCCCTCCATAATAGGTTCGAGGCCCTGGATCTTGAAGGAGAGGTAGGTGAGAATGTGGGGCAAGGCCAGCCCACAATGCCACATAGGAAAAGGGAGTCGACTTTGCACCTCAAGACTGCCTCTGTTAAGAAAGAAAGAAGGGTCATTGTAGTAGGGGATTCCCTTCTGAGAGGAACAGAGGGCCCGATATGCAGAGTTGACCCTCATCATAGGGAAGTGTGTAGTCTGCCTGGAGCCCGGATCAGGGATATCACCAGGGCGCTCCCCAACCTGGTGCACCCGACAGACTACTACCCGCTGCTGGTCTTCCAGACAGGTGGGGAGGAAGCTGCTTCCCGCAGTCTGAGGGGGATGAAGAAAGACTACAGGGCCTTGGGGCGGATGGTGAAAGAGTCTGGGGCTCAAGTGATCTTCTCCTCTCTCCTTCCATCTTCCACTGATGTGGGAAGGAATGGGAAGATTCAGTTCATGAACAATTGGCTTCGAGACTGGTGCTACAGGCAGGGCTTTGGATTCTTTGATAACGGCTAGTTTTATAGGGCACCAGTCTGGACAATGACAAGTGAGAAAGGTTTGTCTCACAGAGGGAAAAGGATGCTGGGGCACGAATTAGCAGGGCTCATTTGGAGAGCTTTAAAGTAGATTCGAAGGGGGATGGGCTTGTAGCTGGGCTTGCCCCAGTGGGGCAGCGCTCCAGAATTAATGAAGACTGGGAGGCCTCCTACAATCCTAGGGTGAAATCGGTGTGCTCAGCTCGCTCCCTGAAATGCCTGTACACCAATGCGCGCAGCATGGGAAATAAGCAGGAGGAGTTGGAAACCTGTGTTAAGTCAGGAGATTATGATCTGGTGGCAATTACAGAGACGTGGTGGGACAGCTCACATGACTGGAATATAGTCATGGAAGGCTATGTCCTTTTCAGGAAAGACAGGCCAGCCAGGTGGGGTGGTGGGGTTGCTCTTTATATGCGGGAGGAACTACAATGCACCGAGTTCTGTCCAGGGACAGATGATGAGCGAGTTGAGAGTCTGTGGGTGAGAATTAAGGGGCAGGCTGGCAGGGGGGATACTGTTGTAGGTGTCTGTTACAGACCACCAGATCAGGGTGAGGAAGTTGACGAGGCCTTCTACAGGCAGCTGAGAGCAGCCTCACAGTCACAGGCCGTGGTCGTCGTGGGGGATTTTAACTTCCCTGATGTTTGCTGGAAGGACCACTCGGCAACCCAGCCGCAGTCCAGGAGGTTCCTCCAGTGTATGGATGATAACTTCCTCCTGCAAATGGTGGATGAGCCGACCAGGAGAGGAGCGCTGCTGGATCTCATCCTCACTAACAAGGAGGATCTGGTCGAAGCAGTAAGGGTTGAGGGCTGCCTTGGTTGCAGCGACCACGAGATGGTGGAGTTCAGGATCTTGTGTGGCAGGACTAGTAGAATACCAAGTAGAATTGCAACCCTGGACTTTAGCAGGGCAAACTTTGGCCTTTTCAAGCAATTGCTAGGGGAAATCCCATGGGCAGGGCTGCTTGAAGGTAAAGGGGCCCAAGATAGTTGGTTGACATTCAAGGACTGCTTTTTCCGTGCTCAAGATCGGAGCATCCCGACACGTAGGAAGTCAAGGAAGAGGGCCAAGAGACCTGCGTGGCTAAATAGGGAATTGCTGGGTATGCTCAAGTGGAAGAGGAGAGTTTACAGGTCATGGAAGGAGGGGCTGGCCACTTGGGAGGAATATAAGGCTGCTGCTAGAGGATGTAGGAAGGCAGCTAGGAGGACTAAGGCATCCTTAGAATTAAACCTGGCAAGAAGGGTCAAGGACAGCAAAAAGAACTTTTTCAAATACATGGCAGACAAAACTAACACCAGAGGCAATGTAGGCCCACTGATGAACGAGATGGGTGCCCTGGTGACAGAAGATAAAGAGATGGCAGAGTTACTGAATGCCTTCTTTGTCTCTGTCTACTCTGCTGCGGGCAGTCCTGAAGAGCCCTGTACCCCTGAGACCTTAGATGAAGTCAGGTCGATGGAGCGGTTTGCCTTAGTCGATGAGGAATGGGTTAGAGAACAGTTGAGCAATCTGGACATCCATAAATCCATGGGTCCAGATGGGATGCACCCGTGGGTGCTGAGGGAACTGGCAGAAGTCATTGCTAGACCACTCTCCATCATCTTTACCAAGTCTTGGGAAACGGGAGAGGTGCCTGAGGACTGGAGGAAAGCAAATGACACTCCAGTCTTCAAAAAGGGCAAGAAGGAGGACCTGGGTAACTATAGACCAGTCAGCCTCACCTCCATCCCTGGGAAAGTGATGGAACACCTTATCCTTGGTACCATCTTAAGGCATATCAAGGATAAGAAGGTTATGAGGGGCAGTCAACATGGCTTCACCAGGGGGAAATCATGTTTGACCAATCTCTTAGCCTTTTATGAGGAAATAACACGGTGGATGGATGATGGCAGAGCGGTGGATGTGGTCTACCTTGACCTCAGCAAAGCATTTGACACAGTCTCCCACAGCATCCTCACGGCTAAAATGAGGAAGTGTGGACTGGATGATCAGGTAGTGAGGTGGACTGCGAACTGGCTGAAGGAGAGAAGCCAGAGAGTTGTAGTCTATGGGGCTGAGTCTAGTTGGAGGCCTGTAACTAGTGGAGTGCCTCAAGGGTCAGTACTGGGACCGGTATTTAATATATTCATCAATGATTTAGATGAGGGAATTGAGTGTACTATCAGCAAGTTTGATGATGACACTAAGCTGGGAGGAGTGGCTGACACGCCAGAAGGCTGTGCTGCCATCCAGCGAGACCTGGACAGGCTGGAGAGTTGGGCAGGGAGTAACTTGATGAAATATAACAAGGGAAAGTGTAGAGTCCTGCATCTGGGCAGGAACAACCCCAGGTTCCAGTATAGGTTGGGGAACGACCTGTTAGAGAGCAGTGTAGGAGAGAGGGACCTGGGGGTCCTAGTGGACAACAGGATGACCATGAGCCAACACTGTGCCCTTGTGGCTAAGAAGGCCAATGGCATCCTGGGGTGTATTAGAAGGGCGGTGGTTAGTAGGTCGAGAGAGGTCCTCCTTCCCCTCTACTCTGCCCTGGTGAGACCGCATCTGGAGTATTGTGTCCAGTTCTGGGCCCCTCAGTTCAAGAAGGACAGGGAGCTGCTGGAGAGAGTCCAGCGCAGGGCAACGAAGATGATTAGGGGAGTGGAACATCTCCCTTATGAGGAAAGACTGAGGGAGCTGGGTCTCTATAGTTTGGAGAAGAGGAGACTGAGGGGTGACCTTATAAGTGTCTATAAATATATAAAGGGGGAGTGTCACGAGGACGGAGCCAGGCTCTACTCAGTGGCAAACAATGATAGGACAAGGGGTAATGGGTACAAACTGGAACACAAGAGGTTCCACTTAAACTTGAGAAGAAACTTCTTCTCAGTGAGGGTGACGGAACACTGGAACAGGCTGCCCAGGGAGGTTGTGGAGTCTCCTTCCCTGGAGACATTCAAAACCCGCCTGGACACATTCCTGTGTAACATTATCTAGGTGTTCCTGCTCCGGCAGGGGGATTGGACTAGATGATCTTTCGAGGTCCCTTCCAATCTCTAACATACTGTGATACTGTGATAGTTTAATTAGATGATCTCTGAGTGTCCACAGATGGCTCAAGACAGGTTCACACGAAGCTATCACAACCTCAAAACAGCCATTTGGAGCAAAAATCAGCAACGTCACACTGAACTGCTTAGCTACAAAGATAAACGAGTAGGAGAAAAGCACTATCACTGGCAGAATATGCTGGCAAGCATAAAATTCTGAGTATGGTTATGATCTGAAGTGTCTCTCTTTTTCCCCTAGCTTTAGATTTTACATCATATACCCAAACTAAAGCTCTCCTGAATCTGTAATTAATGCCACATTATCAACACTGAGCAAGAATGCTGTGTCCTTGTTGATGTCTCCTCAGTGT